CTATACGAGAAGATTCAATATTAATAGCAAGTTCAAGTATATAAAGATGAGGTATTTTTCCATGTTATCTGTAATTTTTAGACCTTGATATGATAAATGTAATCTGTTTTATAGCATGCTTTGGCTAGAGGATACTATTTAAGTAATTTGGGTCTGACATACTAACTCAACGACCTTGATTCAGTTTGGCGATTTTTATAGATGAAATGGTAAAAGTTACATATCGGATGCACATTGCCGATTTTCATGAATTTTTTTAAGAATATTCTCAGACTAAGAATATTTATTCTACATCGGCAAACATTATCAACATATCAAAAGAAAACACACTTTAAAAATTTAAAATACAAATTTTAATTATTAAATAAGAATTATATGATATACTAAAAAAATGAAACAAATTTTTTTGCGAAATCTTTCTATAATTTTTTAGCGTTGCTTATCGCCTTATACACCCAGCGATCTATTTTCGCCTAAAAAAACACCAGAGAATGGCACAAACTCGGCATTGTTGCCTTTAGTGATTTTGTGGCAAAATGTTGTATTCCTGTCAAAATTTTAGCCCAGTTTTTTTTTTTTTTTTTTTTGCTTGTAAATTTTACAAGTGATATTTTAAAATGGAGTTTAAAGCAAAAAATAGCATGATCTCTCCATAAAAATCGTTCTAACTTGGAATGAAATAAAAAAAAATCGCAAATGAAAATGGTGATGTTGCTTGGCTGAAGGATTGTTATGAGCATGGTTACCTGAAGTTGGGTTATCTGAACTGTCAGAGTTTGACACATTCTGAAAATCTGGTGATTTCTACTAAAGAAGGTTGCGATAATAGGTAAGTACCAGTAATTTTTCCATAAATGACACTAAGTTAAATTAGACATACTGAAGTCGACTACCAATAACGCCATGAACAGAAAGATGTTAACGTAATTACAGTAAAAAAATTATAAGAAAGTCTGTATTAACGTTGTGAACAGCAGAACATGCAGTAGAAGACAGTTTTTGAGGCAGCTGTCTTATATTCTTCTGTTAATATATTTCTGACCGGAGAATGCAATTCAGGTGCTTTCAAACAATGAGATCATTTTACGACCAAAAAACATACAAGCTATGGCAAATTCCTTGGGGGAAAAAAGTTTGAAAAGAAATCACTTTTTCTTAGCCTTAGCCCAAAGGGCGTTAAGACCAGAAGGGCTATTAATTTCGCTTTGGCATTTTGTGTTGAAAACTTTAAATGTCGGTTCACTTTTCAAACTGTTGCCATCAAATATTACAGCTCTGTATTATATTTAAAGAAATTAAATTATGAAGAATCTGCATAAATGTATGTATGTTTCTCGCATTGTGATAAAAGACGGTACCTAGAGCCATCGAATTTTGAATAACGTACGTTTCTACCCGAATATGGGCATCTGTAAGCCCAAATTTGGAATTTGTTTTATTATCTATTTCATATTTTTTAAAACTTTAACGAATTTTTGATTAACAAATTCAACGATTTCAAAACGAGCCATAGCAACATTGTACGGGGGAAAAAAAAAATTATCTCCAGCGCACGAGACTGTGTATCGGAAAATCAGATATGCTCATTTAAAAATTATTTTGCGATATTGCTGTTCACTGAATTTGATGTTTTAAGTTAGAAGAACATGATATTTAATAAATAAAGGTAACACACAAAACGCCCCTTTGGGCGTAATGTAAAATCTGAAAACTTTCAGACCTTTTTTTTTTTTTTTTTTTTGTCCGGGTTTATCATTCTAAAGATTACAAGGTTAGCAATACAGGTATCCCTCCTAAAACACGGTAGCTAGGTTTCTAAAATGTACCGCGTTGGGTGATGAAAACAGTGTTATACAAAACTATCGACCGATATAAAAGAGGGATGCGTTCGACTTCTAAAAATAAAATATTTTTTAATTGTTCTCACCGTTTCCTCCTTTATTTTTTTTAACTTAATACTTTTTGCAACATCAAATGCCTTTTCTCCTTTGTCTTTCTCTTTTCTCAAAAGTTGTAAAAAAATTTATATTTTTATGTATAGAGAAATATATTTCCTTTTAAAAATCCGTTGCTTACCCAGTTACGTAATTTATGTAATCTACAAAGTGAAGCTGAAGTGTTTGAGCTGAACATACATACTGTGAAAATCGCGAGCATGATTCAATTTCAAAAGAATTTCGATATGACAGAATGCATATATTTCCGAAATTTATTTTGTGTGCATAAATAAATCAGTTGTTATTGTTATTACAAATGATGGCATAGAATGTAACTCAATTTTATAAATGTTTAGAATAAAAACAAAAGATGTACATTCATAAAGCGACGTATAACGCATTTGTAAGAGGGTTTACGCATAGGCATTAAAGTTCTAGAATGAAATTCTGTTGCCATGCTATAGGAGGGTTTCTGCGCAGAATCTCGTCTGTTATTGCACTCCGGTACATGCATACATGCACAGGTTAAAACAAAGCCGGCAGCTGTGCATTCTCGCAGATATATATTAGGTATCGCCGGAACCTGCTACTTGTTTAGCTTCCGCCCCAGTTTTGAGTGAACACACTCCGGGGGAGGGTGTCTGAAGGTCTCCCGCCCCGTTTCCCCTCCCACTAACCTCTCGAAAGAACATTCGGTTGGCTGTTTATTTTAAGTGCACTCTCGTCGCACAGACACTAAACGCTTATAAACATTCATGCCGTTCCCGGGATTCGAACAAGGGGCCCATCGGTACCGCAGTCAGCATCACTAACCACTATACCACTCAGCAGTTCCGTTACATTTATAGCTGGGTGAGAGAATTATCATCTTGAATGGAGAAGAACAGCTGGATATGGCTGAAAAAACAATATTGGATTAGAAGGATCAACTGCGACGAGTTTGGCGTAAACAAAGCTTCCGGTAAAATCGAAAAGCCTAAAAAGTAGTAGAAATTTATGAAAGTCTTTTTACGAAACGCAGAAAAGAAGCGGGTGGAGTATTTCTCCATCAGCGGCTATTTGGTAGACAGGGATGAGTGGCTAACGAATGTTTTATTGTATCTTTGGCCAACTCTGATAGTTTAATGGAGCGAACTTTCTACGGGATAATACGTAAGTACTTTGAAAATTTCTAATTAAGAAAAACAAAAAGATATCTGGTATTATTAAAAAAAGGACTTTTGAAACTTGATCACGCTTTTATTTTTTGCTGGTTTTAATCTGTTAATCCTTTTTTTATATTACAAAGTTATTACAATGTACTATTTTGTAGGATACTATTCTGTTATATGAGAATTACTATATTATTCGCCCATACTTTACCTGAATTGTCTTAAAATAAAATTAATTTCAGTTTTAAAAAAAAAAAAAGATTTCTCATTAAAATGCAATAGCTTTCAACATAAAGATGCTATTTCTGTCGGTATATGCGCATATTGTCAGAAAACACTGAACAATCTGCATGTCTGATAAGCCTCGTAACTGTTATTTATATTTTTCATGTCGTTGACAATTAGGCTGTGAAAGTATTCTCATCTGTTTGCATATAAAATGAAGTAAAATGCTTCTTAAATATTTTTATCTGGTTAAAGTCCTACTACTGTAAGGGAATATTTTTTTAGAAATTATACATATACTAGTTAAAAAGAATACTAAGCACTCCGTTAAGAAAAATTCTTGATAAGGTTACCAGACGTCCAAGATTAGTCGGGATAACCTGAAATTTGTTATTACGTCCGGAGCAGGGTCCGGTATTAAAAAATATCAGGAATTTTTAAGTGAGAGTGACTAGCGATCTAACTAAAGACATTTTCCACTAAAAAAGGAAAAAAAAAAGTTCATCAGCATTTAGCAGAAAGGAACATTTCGATTATAAACATCATTTGCACTTCAAAACAACAGTGAAGAATGTTTAAACTTAAAAGTCAGTTCCAAACATTCAAACAGTTATTTTTATGAACATATAAAATCTAACAAAGTGTTTCTGAGGAAATTATTCACTACTAAAAATATGCTGTCTCAGTCAATTCACTTATGCTCGCTGCAGCCATGCTATAAAAGAGATCCAATTTGCTTTTCAGTACTTTAAAGTACTTTTCAGTATATTGGAATATTTTGTTGTTGTCCAGTATTTTTTCCCTAAAATCTGGTAACCCTAACTTTTTACAGTTGATTTAGTAACCAGATCAATTGTTATCAATGTATCAAATATTTCCAAATTGATTGATAACCAATACTAATATTTAAAATATCCTTACAGCATAAATAAAAATTTCCTTCAATTACTTACCTTTTACTGAAAAAAGGAACAAAATTGCTTTCCAAAATACATATTATAGGGGAAAATAATAAATACACATACTAGTTAGAAGGAATATAACTTCGTTGAGAAATTTTCCTCACAATTGACTAGTAATCAGACAAACAATTGGTTTCCTTTTTTTATTACTTTTCCGTTCTTCTTTTTATCAAATATTTTCAAATAGTTAATAACTGTTAGTGATATTTCAAATATACTCTCTGCACAAATGAATTGTTTCATTAATTTTTTTATTTTTGCTAAAGAAATTAAAAAGGAAACTTTTCCCCCCAAATATATTTTATACGAAGAAACAGCAAAAAAAAAAAAAAAAACTCTACTTAGGTAAAAGTACAATATTTTGTACGGCACGCTATCACAGATCTTTTTAAAGGACGAAAATAATATGTCATTATTGTACTGTTTATTGAGGAATTACAGTTAACAGTATGCACAGTGTTACAATAATTTTTTAAGTGACAGAAACAATCAACGTAACTTACTTTGCTACAAGCTATTGTAAGCTAAAATAGAATCAATTAAAATGTAGCATTTTTTGGGGGGGGAATAAAAAATTCTGCATTAGAGAAATATGGCTTCCTTGTTAAAGATCGCGACAAGCAAACGATATTTAAAAAAAAAAAGAGAGAGAGAGAGAGAGAGCGAAAGAATTCTTGCTAAAAGATTCTTGAAAATGCATAATTTAAATTTAGTGCAAAACTTACCTGAAGGAAGTTGAGCTGCGGAATGATGATACAATACCCAAAAGTAAAAAAATAAAAATAATGAATAAAAACTAGTCCGCTTAGGCAACACACTTTTCTCCATTATTCCTACTTCGGCGGTTATTAAAATTAAACATCAAACTTATACCGCTTTACGGCATATTTCAAACACGAACTTTCACCCTAAATTCGAAAAGGTTTAAACCGAGAATAAAGATTTATTGCCAACCACTTGCACACGATCCACGAGGCCACACCAGTAAACGTGCCAGCAATTTCTCGAATTCTGCAAAGCTAAACGAAGCGGGAAACGAAACGAAGTAAGAAAAAAGTGCAACTGGAGGCCCGTAGGAAGACCGTGGTGACAAACGTCAACATCTGGTAACCATCAACATTTTCCATCTTGCCACTGTCCGGTGGTTTATGGGTTGAGGAGACTTGAGTTAATGAAAGCAAAGGGAATAAAAAAGATTTTCTCGCGCCTACGCATAGAGGCGCTGATTTTCGTTCCACGCCTACAAATTATAATGTCTGGAATTTCCTTGAGCTAACGCTAACTCTGTACAATTTGCCGACTGCGCTAATTATGGTATTTGAAACAATGCCGTCAAGGAAATATATAAAATCAGGACCTTCTGGAGTCAGACTGAGAAGAGTCAAAGAACAAAGATTATTTTCTAGCTCTGGGCTGGGCACTCTTTGGAATATATGAGATTCAGTTCAGTTCACAACTTACATACATACACCGAAGAAAAGGATTTTCTGACAAACGGACTAAACGTGACAATTGCTAAAAATATTATATTTAACTTCTGCGCATATAACTATAACGGGGTATTCTGTGCATACAACTATAACGGGATATTCTGTGCATACAACTATAACGGGATATTCTGTGCATACAACTATAACGGAAGTCCATAACGATACCCATATATTACTATTAAATTTAAGTAGATCCGTGTGAAGAATTCGCCCGGAAGTTCCCCAGTTTCCATACGTAATCCGTCCACTCTATATTTTATATACTATGATGTTATCTCTCAGTTTTTCTTTTAATAATCTTGGGTGGAAATCATAAAAAATGAAAATTGTAAGGAAACATTTAATGTGATTTTTTAATGCTTCATGCGAATTTCAATGTACTTCGCACCTCTAATGTAAATAACTGAAGAAACTGACTTTTACTGAACTTTTTTTTAAATACGGCATGAGCAGCTGCTGTACTTTTATCAAAAACGTTTTAATTCAGATTCAGCACTGCATTAAAAAAAAAAAAAAAGTTTCCGAGTTTTTTTTCCTCAACTTGATAAGTCAGCATTCAGATGATCATCTCGAATTTGGAGTCCAATAACAAGGGATTACTGAAATAATTTTTAATTTCGTCTCTTAGGAACCACTTGAGTTGACACAATATTTTCAAGACTGATGGTCACCTCTTGACCACAAAGCCTAAGTTTGTTTAAGTCGTTTTAGCACAGCGAAGGTCATGAGAGATATTTGGCTAAGGGGAGGAAAGCCTTCGTAGAGAACTTTCTAAAGGACACTGGATTTACGGTGCACATGGAGATAGACACAAAAAACTACCAATAAAGCCAGCCAGTTCGCTTGGGCTCAAATCCGGGATGAACTACCAGTCTTCAGCAGTCTTTCTTTAACCGCTCAGTAACTGGTTGAGAGACAAAGCTTAAAAATCTCGATGTGAAGCAACGCGTAAATGATGATTCTGTAATGACGTACTTAATATACGACACGCAAAACATCTTCTTTTAGTTAAATAATTGCACAAATATTTGTAAAAATGATCTGTGAAATACATTACATGAATCAAATGGAATTAAAAATAATCAAATAAAAAGTACACATGTTGCTGCTATATTGCTCAATTTTTAAGTAAGATGTAGTTTTAAATTAAAAAAATTTCTAATGCCACATTGAATGGTAACATCGCTAAAAAGTGGCAATTTGCCAGCCATCTTTCATGATAAAACTAAAAATCTTACGTTGCATGAAATAGCAACTTATACAGTTATACAAGGTGGGCCATACTGATGGGACAAATATATGAGTCAGCAAGCGATTTAAAATTTGAATTATCCCTCCATGAACGCTGTTTGTTTTTTGCCTATTCCTATATTCGTTTTTTCATCTTTTTTATTAAATGAGATGTTTTATGCAATATAATTAATATCTATAAAGAACTTATAAAATTAATTTCTAACAGTACCATTTTTATTAAACTTTTATTGCTCAGATAATATTCATGTGAATGAGAATTAGCATAATAGAGGAAACTTAATTCGGACTAGGAAGATTGTACAAAAAAAGGGGGGGGGGGGGGAAACGCTTTACCCTTATTTTGAAACAAAATATTCTACGAATCCCAAGTTTTTAGTAAACTTTTAACTTCTCTCAAAAAAGAATTAAAGCAGTACGACTTTTTATTCTTTTACAGTAGACAGAAAATGCTTTGAAAACTTTAAATTTTTCCATGCAAAAAGTAAATTTTATAGCTATTCTTATTTAAAATGCATCTAAAGTTAAATGGTTATACTTTTTGCAAAGTATCGCAAATAAACATTTATACTATTTTTAACTGATGTTGACAATTTAGACTATATAATAGAATAATAATTGACTATGTCATAGATTTCTCATTGAATGGGACATAATGGTTTCTATTTAAAATTATATTTTCTTATTATTAAGCAAAATAATAATCTAAATTTTTAAGTGATATAACTCTGAAATCCTTTATATTTCTCTTCTTTCCAATAAAAATGTCCTCTTATTATTCTGTACCGAATTAAATAAAATTATTAGTAATTAAGTGTATTATAAATCTTAGCCATTGCCTTTTATTAACTTTATTAATTACTGTAATTCATAGACCAAGTCTGCAGAAACTTGTAGATTATTTAAGTTAATTGACGCATTATCTTTTTATTTGAATTGTAGAACTATCTCTTCTACTTTTCATTAGCTCTCATCAGGATGTAGTTGAGAAAAGTATGTATAAGATTAGAGTTTTTCAAAGTTAGAAAGGCAGCTTTAACAGCGACGCTGTCTGTTGTGGAATTTCTCCACTTAGATCTCAGACTTAAAAGTTACCTGGCATTAACCTTTTTTGCTAGAAGAACCATTAACACATTTACTTAAAACTGAGCCAACACTTGTTAGACTTTTGGACGATGAAGTTCCAGCATCTTATCTTTACTTTTTTTTCCAGGTAAATCCCAATGCATTAGACGAGTTGTTTTAACTAGCCGCAAAATTTGAAAGTCAGAAAGTATGTATACGCGAGAGTTCAACGAAAAGTGAGTGGTTTAGAAACGGAGCAACCGAGAGAGATGAGAAATTTCTCGGGAGAGACACTTTGGAGGCTGGCAGAATTTTTCATCAAAAACGATGGTTAGTGTTGATAAAAAGGCGAGTAATTTAAACTAGGAAGGGGTGCTGTGGACCAGAGAAGTCAGAAGATTCTGTTTCATGTTGGTAGATATTTTCAATTGAATGTTATATTAGGGTTGAAAATTTTTAATCAGCAGTTGCGCGAATTGATTTTTAACAGGAATCTATGCAGTTACAGATGAAGGTATGGAGAAGAAAGCAGAACCATATCTCCTGGACATGAACGCTTTGCCCCCCCCAAAGGTAAACAAAAGAAAGTAAATTCGGTGAGCACTTTTTCAGCCCTTATTATATGAAACTCCATAGTTAACACATGTAGTTAACCATGACATAGACACCAAGAGATATCGGGTTCTTGAAAGTCAGAGAGAGAGCTTTCGAAGATACAAGTAGAAATGGCCAAAACAAACTTTCACCCTTTTTCATACATGTATAGTCTTGCCACGCTAACTGCCTAACTCCGCCCCAATTTTGATGGAGGACGGCTCGAAAATCTCCCAGTGCTCTCCTCCTACCTCTCTAAACTACTCGAAAGGACTTTCAGCTCGTATTTTAAGTGTCCCTAAGCCGCATGGTCACTGTACACTTACAAGCATCCATGCTTTCTTTGGGACTCAAACTCGGCCCATCGGTACACCAGTCAGCTTCGCTAACTATTATACATATCAGGGCAGCGAGAGCTTCGGCTGACAGTTGTGATATTTCCTCGCTCAGATCTGAGACTTATGCTACCTGGCGTAAGTCTTTTGCTAGACTAATCACTCAGCAAAAGCTTGTCAGATTTTTCGTTGTGAATCTCCAGCATTAATTTTACCTTGAATTATAATTTACTTTCTGTGTTACCTAAAACCCACAAACTGCTGAGATTATTTTTAAGCACAAGCCGTGCATTGTTAAGTTTAAAGTTGGAAATGAAGGGGTTGTTTAAACTTTCTCCTGACTCTGAAATTACTTTCACAGGCGGAGCGATAAATCGCCTGACAGTCTTAGGGTTTAAGAAATTAGGTTGATTAAGGAGTGAAACGTTACACACTGACAGGAAAAATAACTTTACTGTATATCATAATTTATTTTGCTTTATTAAGAAATTTAAATTTATTCACAGCTACAAAAGACTGACTGCTTCAAATTAGAGAATGTTTTGATTGACTTTAAAAAATTATCTTTTGTAGCTGCTATGTAAAGAGGATTATTGTCTCACTTAAGTAGCATATATTTCGTTTACAAACAGGATAAACTAATTACTCACGAATGTGTCGAACAATCTCGAATTATATTTGATTGCTTTGTTGCAGTTAAGGCCTCTGAAAGTATCTCATATTTTCAAAATAACCTCGGATATTGTACGTCGTCATTTGTTAATATGACAGATGAAAATGGATATTACAGACGGATGAAAACGATTTTATGGAAAACCAGAATGGAAATAAGTTCAATAAACAATAATCACTTACTCTAAATGCTTCTTTACGAAACGATGGGGTTTTTAAGGAAAATGGTTTGTAAATTAATATTTAAATTTTCAGTCCAACAGTATTTTAGAATTTGGAAAAATGATCAACACAGCTCTATCTAGCTTTTCAAATGTTCTGATTAAACAATAACGTGCCAAAGCCACAGCGCTTAACAAAGATACCATATCAATGGCCATATGTGCAATTTAATATTAATTTTAGAGTTACCAGTATAACCCCGTTGTTATATTTCCCAACTTTTTGACTTCGTGACCCACATAAATATAACTGCAATTCGTCGCGACCATATAAAAATGGTTTCAGTTTAAGTCGGCCCATGTTGCTTTCAACAAACAAAGAAGGAAAAGGAGATTCCTAAAATCATTCCCAAAGAGGCGGTTTTTTTTTTTTTTTTTTTTTTTTTTTTTTTTTTTTTTTGTTTCCATTTACACATACAAACATGTTTCGAGAGCATTTGGGCTAACGCCCCTTTGAGCTAAAAATATTTAAAAACTGGATACGTTTAGAATTTCCAATAGACAG